TTACAGTTGCTCAAGGTCAATAACAGTAACAGACTGAACTAATTAAATAATTCAATATATTACAAAGTTTACGAAATAAATGTTCATGATGTGTTAATTGACTTCATCCATGAGTGTATTTACTTAAAACGTCTGCAATTCTCTCACCTTGATCTTCATGGTGCTTGGTGCCAGGGCTGTGATTTCCTTCTGCATACGGTCAGCAATACCAGGGTACATGGTGGTGCCACCAGAGAGCACATTGTTGGCATACAGGTCCTTACGGATGTCAATGTCACATTTCATTATGCTGTTATAGGCAGTCTCATGGATACCAGCAGACTCCATACCTGGTGGAAAACAAGTAAAAAGATTAAAAAGGCGTTTTGTAACATAGACAGAAACAGTGTAACTCAAGCATCGAGACTGAACTCACCAATGAAAGAAGGCTGGAAGAGGGTCTCTGGGCAACGAAAACGCTCATTACCAATGGTGATGACCTGACCATCGGGCAGCTCGTAGCTTTTTTCCAGGGAGGAAGAGGAGGCAGCAGTGGCCATCTCATTTTCAAAGTCAAGAGCCACGTAACATAACTTCTCCTTGATGTCACGCACAATCTCACGCTCAGCTAAGGACCAGAACGTTTAGCTATTTAGGAAAATCCAATTCACACATTTTTAATACGCAAAATAATTAATCAAGATGGCATAGTCCTACCAGTTGTGACAAAGGAGTAGCCACGCTCAGTCAGGATCTTCATCAGATAGTCAGTAAGATCACGACCGGCCAAATCCAGACGCATGATGGCATGTGGGAGAGCATAACCCTCATAGATGGGAACATTGTGTGTTACACCATCGCCAGAGTCCAGCACAATACCTTTAACGAGCAAATAAGAGCAGCAGTTCAGCTATGTCACACATCACTCACTATACAATGTTGCTGACATCACTGAGAACACATGCTGCTGTAGGGGGATTAGCACCTCCACTTGACAAGGAGACAGATGACAGACACAATAATAGTGTAAACACACACATCATACACATCTCTTGCTTAAGTACTAGATCTGTATTTTACATTCTGGAATAACTGATCTCAGACTCAAATAAACACCTGGAAAAATGATTGAAGTTTACTGACCAGTGGTACGGCCAGAGGCATACAGAGACAGCACAGCCTGGATGGCCACATACATGGCAGGAACGTTGAAGGTCTCGAACATAATCTACAAGAGAAAGCAAGCAGAATCAGAGGGAGAAGAAACACACAACTTACGTATAAATGGGGTCTAAAACAATTGATTAGTTGCTTTAAATACCTGAGTCATCTTCTCCCTGTTGGCTTTGGGGTTCAGGGGAGCTTCAGTCAGCAGGGTGGGGTGTTCCTCAGGAGCTACACGCAGCTCATTGTAGAAGGTGTGGTGCCAGATCTGACCGAGGAAAGAGAAGAAATCTGAAATAACTGAATAAGCAACAACCTGATCTTACTAACGAGGCACCAAATGCTCTTATAATGGCTGTAAAGATAAAGTGGGGTGTAGGTGAAATTGCACAAACCTTCTCCATATCATCCCAGTTGGTGATGATGCCATGCTCAATGGGGTACTTCAGTGTCAGGATACCCCTCTTGCTCTGGGCCTCATCGCCTACATAGCTGTCTTTCTGACCCATACCCACCATCACACCCTGAAAAAAGACACATGAGCTGGAGTATAAAACACATGAAAACAGTTACCCTAAACATCTTTTTAACATTGCACTAAGATAGTCTTTTGCTTGGAGCATACCTGGTGGCGGGGCCTTCCAACGATGGAAGGGAAGACAGCACGGGGAGCGTCATCTCCAGCAAATCCAGCCTTGACCAAGCCAGAGCCATTGTCGCACACAAGGGCGGTAGTCTCATCGTCGTCACACATGATGAGGCTTTACTGGGGTGATCTAAAATTTGATGAGAAGGTTTAGGCTGGTTGTTAGGACCATCTGCCTAAATTCTCCGTCATGTAAACTAAGGATGTGTTATTGTTGAACAATCACTGACTTTATTGTTGGAGCAGCTGATTAAATGAGACCCTTTAGAGATAGAGTCAGTCACTCGTGTGGTTAATAGATACGTATTAGCTGTGATTTAACAGTCCTTTGAAGAGCAGCCAGCACTATCTGATAGCTGCTCTTATGGTATTATCACTTGTGAATACTAACACAACTCAATTCAGTGGGTGCTACAGAGCTAATTCGATGTGGATGGATGCTATTTTTGTCCGACCCTTGTCAGAAACCCCTGATACCATATCTCCACAGCCACGATTGTTCCTGGGGTATCTAAGAGCTGCTGAGGTAGCACCAAAAAGGGCCACAACCGGGAGACCTGTGAGCTATTTTAAGCTCAGCACCCCCACAGCCGTTAACAGGGTTAAACAAGTGACACATTGATCTCTTGCTATTTCAGGTCAGAGAGAAGTGCCTGGCCAGCACCCATCTGTCTGTACGCTGTGACACTCGGGTTTTACTACTTGCTTCTGTGACCCAGCTGCCTCTAAACCTAAGCCACTGAGTCACTGGTAAATTTAACCAACATCCTCTCAGAGTTGCACTTTCCAAGTACTACTCTAGTGTGACTTTGTAGTGTATCGGTATACTTTGTGAGACTTTGCACACTACAAAGTGTACCGATCACAGGAAAACACATCACCCCACTGTCAGTCGTTTGTGGCATCACATGCAATCAAACCATTTTAAGCAAAAAACAGGTAGAAATAACACCAGCTTTCACTGTGCTCCACAAATCCAGTCAGTGATTCTAACTTCTGAGGACGCTGAAATAACCTAATCTATTCTCTCATAAAAGTAAAAAAAATAAAATCCTTCATTTCAAATAACAGGTAGTAACTTTCCTGAAGGTAAAAAGAAGGCAGTTGCACAAGCAGATACCTCTTCAGTGATTCAAAGAGACACACTTTGAAATGTACTCACCTAAGCAAGCTGGAACACAGATGCTTCCACTGGGATGCAGGGTCACAGTCAGAGGATCCCCTTAAATATGCCCCACAATGGGTCGAAGGACAAGGGGCGGGGCTGAGAGTTCACGCGAGTCCAAAAAAGAGCTGCCAGCAAAAATCCTCATGCCCTTGGAAATGTGTGTTTCACATACATGGAAGAGACTTCTCTACAGTGCACTCCTACTCGCTCACAGTTTAAACATGACATGTTAGTTGAGTTATTCTTGCTTTTCGGATGCACCCACAGATGACTATTGATATGAACTACTGAAAGTTTTTTCAAAAACTGGTGTAGATGGTTGTTATATGTAGGTCTTTAAAAAAGCTTTTTAAGATAATTAAGCATTTTTCTATATTGTTACTAAAACTATATCTGATGTCTTTCTTTATATAACTATACTGTAGAACAAGATTAATAAAGGAAAGGAAGAAAGGAACATAAGGCATCATCTGCATTTTAGTTACAGTGCAATCTCTTAATAGCTCTCAAATAATGTCAAAGTCTTGATAAAGTGTCTGTATAATATTTGAAATGATGTGTTTCCCAATGCGGAACAAATGCAACTCATCCCTCGCAGGTTTTGCTGATCCATCCAGTCAAGACAGCGTGACTGGTGTCTCGCTAAGGAGATGAAAACAACCACTCTGCTGGTATGTGCACTGAGCCTCCTCAGTGTGTGGAACAGCTGATGGTATTGCCAGAAGGGCTCTATCTGATCTGGCTCTCTGTGTCAGCGCTCCATCATGATTGGCTCAGCTGTCTCCTTATAGGGTGATGGTGAGGAACAGAGTCATTAATGAGCAGCCACTGAGGTCTCACAGCTTGCAATGAGGAATTCCATATAAGCGCCACTCACTGCTTAAGGTTCATTTTCCTTTATGTCCACTGAACCTCGTGATGTAATATTTTCACATCTGTGAATGAATGATACAAACATTTGGCATAATCGTTGGTGAAGCACAAGAATGTTCCCTTTGGGATTTTTCTGTATCTCAGGAAATGTCACTCATTTATTTGTAATGATTACAACAATAATTAAGTAAATATGAGGAAGAATAACTCTGATCTAAAAGAGAAATATGTGCAGTATATGATAGGCAAAGGAATGTGAGAGCATTCTTCTGCTCCACACTGCCCCAGCAGACACAAGTGCCTCCTATTTATAGCTGTACTCCACAGATAGGAGCTGGATGCAGACGAAGCATCACATAGTTATGTGCATGACAAAGAGGACTTTTAATAGAAGACTGGATTTATATTGTTTAGATACAAGAAAGTAAGGGGTGTGATTCACAGTAAAAATATAACAAAGGGCGACAGTTACAGAGCAAAATTAGTCTTGAACTGTGAGGATTATAAAAAACTAAACAAAGAATACCTCAGGTGTATTTATGGGTGGAGAGGGACATTATGGGATAACTATCACTCCATCCATTCATCAGTCTCACGCCCAGTTTAGGATCACAAGTTAAACTAATGTACATGTGTCTGTGCTTTGGGAAGAAGCCAAGGTTCCCCGCTCAGCAAAAAACTACAAATCCCTTTTCAGAAAACGTGGAGCGCTGTGTAAAATAAAAAAACAAACAAACAACTGAGTGAGGTGCACATTAATGAAATCCTTAATTCGGACTGTGGAAATATATCCTGTGCTGAACCTGGGATTTTTATTTATTTACAACCCAAATCCCCCAAACTTGGAAAACTGTGTGAAATTCAAATAAAAACAGTATGCAATGATCAGCAAACTTTGGAAACCAATGTTTTATTCACAATAAATCCTTGAAAACATATTGAAAGATGGTGTATTTCCTTTTTTAAAGACTGTAACTTAAACAGATAAATCACATATTAAACTACATATTTAAAAAATGTTGATTAAAACTAACCAACATTTTCCACCAATTCAATTCAAATTCTTTATCGTCCCACAAGGGGAAATTCCACTCTCAACAGGCTTCACACCGAGACCGTGATGACTACTGCTCTCTGGAGGCCTTCTTCGACACGGCTACGTGATGACGTTTCACATGCGACGCGCAACCTACAACAGGCATGCGCCAGATACAACGTTGTTGTGGTCGTCCGTCGACTGCGTGGTAAGTTGGCGTTCACTATGTGACGGTACTTCATGTCAGGCAAGCTGAGTATCTGCGGAGTTTCGAGCTTACAGAGTCGGGGGAGCCGAGTGCGGTGAGTCCGGGGCTGGAGCTGCGCGCTGAGCGGATCCGCTTCCTCCTTCTGTTTGACGGCTGTGGGCGTGCGGACGGGGAGACTGCCATGTAGCTGAGGCAGAAGAATGAGCAGTCAGCGCACTTCAGCGGACGGGACAGACGACTGCGCGGTTCGGCAGGAAAATGAACTAGAAGCCCTCGCGTCTATTTTTGAAGATGATTTCAAGGATCTGCGGAGCAACGACCCCTGGAAGGTAGATCCACCTTCTATCTGTGTGCAATCTTCACGTTAGCGGAATGCAGAGGACTGCCAAGTGTTTGCATATACGAGTGTTAACTGGAGTAAACTGCAGTGCAAATCAACGAGGCTCCTTTTGATTTGGTTTTCAGGTTAAAAGGCCACCAGAGGTGTACCTCTGTCTGCGGCCCAATGGGCTGAACACCGGACAGGAGTGTTACGTGACCGTGGACCTGCATGTCAAATGTCCTCCCACGTATCCGGACGTGTGAGTACTGGCTCCCTTTCTTTGCCAATTCTCCATCATTGTCGCTGCACTGCAAGGTGTCCATTCACATACTGACCATCTACTACAGGGCAGCTCAAACATAAGGTGCACGGGCCAGAGTTGGGCCTGGCAAGGACTCCAGTCTGGCCCACTGAGCAGCTTTGGAAAATGTGAAGGAATGCACAGATTTTGGAATTTTATTTGATAAAGTTTATTTGATAAAGTTTGCAGACGAAAGAATGAAGCTGGCAAAGCTTTGAAGACAGCTCGCTTTTATTTTAACGGTCTCTGTGCAACTCCCACTGAGTAACACGTGTTTACAAGGCAACGCTATTGTTGCCACCATGCTCACCCTTATTTATATACTTGAACTTACACTTGCCCTCTTTATTGGATTATTTATTGTACACGTTCCCACTTCGAGTATTATTTTTTTTCACAATTTAAAATCTCAGACAATACTTGAACATGAATATCGCCAAAACTATGAAAGATAAAAGTCTTTCTTTCCATAAAAGGGACTCAGGATCTGTAATTTGGGACGTATGGATCAAAAATGGCTAGAACAGTGACTAAATAGATAAAATATTGAAATTAAATACCATTCAAGCAGTCCTGTAAAGTCACATATTTTAGCACACACTAATAAAAATAATTATCACATTGCAAAAGACTAGTGACAATCTTTGAAAGTCCAAATAATGCTAAATAAAACACGTGCAGTACTTTTTAACATTATTGCACATTATCCTGGGAGAGCCTTATGGGTCAGGTTGCATTTGGGGCGATCGTGGCTCAAGAGTTGGGAGTTCGCCTTGTAATCGGAAGGTTGCCGATTCGAGCCCCGGCTCGGACAGTCTCGGTCGTTGTGTCCTTGGGCAAGACACTTCACCCGTTGCCTACTGGTGGTGGTCAGAGGGCCCGGTGGCGCCAGTGTCCGGCAGCCTCGCCTCTGTCAGTGCGCCCCAGGGTGGCTGTGGCTACAACGTAGCTGCCATCACCAGTGTGTGAATGTGTGGATGACTGGATATGTAAAGCGCTTTGGGGTCCTTAGGGACTAGTAAAGCGCTATATAAATACAGGCCATTTAAAATGCATTAAGAGGCATTAAAAAGCACAAGTATCTGTTTAAAAGAAATCGTACACGAATATAAATATAGCGGAACAGCTGAGAGTTATGAAAAACATAACAGTAGTTCATCTCATGAGTAGGTCACCTTAATGCCATGACTACCACAGGCAAGCAGGGATGTATTTTTAATTATTATGTCTGACTAACTTGACATTATTGGGCACTAACAGGCCTCCAGAACTGGAGCTGAAGAATGCCAAAGGCCTTTCGAACGACAACCTCAAAAGTCTCCAAGCTGAACTCAACAAGCTGGCGACGGAACAATGCGGAGAGGTGAGCATACACTCGCAGACGCACGTGCAGTCCCATGTGTGTTGAGATTTTCATTAACTTATTTATCTGTGAACTTAGGTGATGATTTACCAGCTAGCGGATCACATTCAGGGTTTCCTGAGCGAACACAACAAGCCTCCGTCGCGCTCCTTCCACGAGGAGATGCTGAAGAACCAGCGGAGGCAGCAGGAGAAACTAGCGCTGGAGGAGCAGCAGAGAATGGACCAACGACGCAAGCAGGAGGAGGAGATGGTTAGGACAGGAGGAAGAAACGCTGATTAGGTTGCAGTGTAATGCCCAAGTGATTTGTGTGGTCCGGTCACAAAGGCTACAGGATGGCTTCATGTTATTCATTCACAGCCTGACTGTCTGTGATTTCTAGAAACAGTTCAGGCTGATGATTCACTCTTTTACTAGGAAAACTGGCAAATTCCAGCTTTCTACTGTTGTTAGTTGGTTATGAATAAATATTTTTGTGACGATGATAGGGGTACTATTCATGCTGTGTCCTTCAATGTTTTTAGGCCAGATATCGGCTATTATGACTTTAGGACTATAATAGGAATATAGCATTTATCAGCTGATGTGGAAAACATCATTTTTAGGTTCCTTTCATGGGAGTTTTACCACAAAAAAGGCAAAGTATCGTAAATTAAATTCTTAATTGGAGCAAAATCTTTAACACTGACAGTTTAAGTAAGCTGCAAAAGGTGTATTGTGATGGAATTTTCTTATTCCTTTAGGAAAAAGAAATCATGGCTGAAATCCAAAGGAGAGAAGAGGAAAAGCGAGAGGAAAAGAGAAGAAAGGAAATGGCTAAACAGGTGTTCTCGCTGTTTGATTTCTATTTGATTTGATTCACTTGATTTCGTTAATCATCAGTAAAATCACAGGGATTTTATAGATCGCAGTCAGAGCAACCCGTATAACGAAGCCATCAGTATTGTAGGTGACTCTTTGAATGGCTTTCTATTTGCAGGAGCGACTCGGGAGCATGGAGCATTCGATGTCTGTGATGGGGAAGAGTCCACCCAGCCCAGGAGGCGCAGCTCCCGAACTGTTTGAAGCCAAGAAAGCAGCTGGCAATCGCCGTCGGACTACCTCAAATTCCCGCCACAGGTACACGTCCTACATGCAGAAAAAGCTTCTCATGTTTAACAAAGTGCAGTAATAATGCTTCGATATGTCTCCTTCACCAGACGGGACACGGTTAATGAGGACAACAGTCGCCCGCAGGAGGTTCTTCACTTCAGCAGCAATGTTTTTGGAGAGCTTGCTGTGCACCAAGGGAAAAGCTTAGGTGAGGGCCATCAGACTGGCGCTGCCAGCCACGTGGCGAAAAACGTAATATGTCTCTTTAAATGTATTTCTGTTTTGGTGCGTTTCCGACAGGTGTAAGTGAACGGTTCGGTCGCAACATTTATTGCGGGTTTGAGGTGAACTCTGGCGATTTTGCTGTGATCTATGAGTGGTCGTTGCAGTGGAACAAAAAGATGAGCAAGTTCTTCACCACCCAGGAGAGAGGAAGGATTGAAAACTGTAAAAAACAGGCAAGTAGAGAGGAAGGGGGGCTTTTTATGAAGAATTTGCTGATCAAATCTTGCATTTTAACTTATAAAGCCTTTACGAACATGCATGCTTAAAGCTTGGCACATTTCAACTTGCGTTGTGCAGATCCATGCAGCAGAAAATGAGTTTAACTCCCTGCTGCGGCTGGAGCACCCAAACTTGGTGCAATACTTGGGGCTGAGCGTGGTCGAGAAGGAGGAATGCATCGTGGTTTACATGCTGGTGGAGCACGTGGCCGGGAACAGCTTGAACCAAAGCCTGGCCGCCCACGGCCCGGTCCCTCTGGATAAGCTCTGCCACTACACGGCCCAGCTGCTGACCGCTCTCGACTATCTGCACTCCAACTCCGTGGTCCACAAACAGATGGGGCCCTCCAGCGTGCTGGTGGACTCCGAGGGGAACATTCGAGTGACCGATTACAGTTTATCAAAGAGGTTTGCTGACATCTGCAAAGAAGACATTTTCGAACAAGCTCGCGTGCGTTTCTCCGAGGAAACGGCGATGCCAACGAGAACGGGCAAGAAAGGCGACGTGTGGAACCTGGGACTGATGCTGCTGGCTCTGAGTCAAGGCAAGGAAGTGAAGGAGTATCCGGTGACGGTGCCGAGTAGCCTGCCTGCTGATTTTCAGGATTTCCTTCAGAAGTATGTATCGATGAATAATTCCTCATAATGTTGTATATTTTTGCAGTTTTACTGTTAATCTCACTACATAACAAACAATTTCTATTTATATTGTTGTCACCAACTTATAATGCAAATGAACAACCTGTCTTAGCTGACAGGTGTGACACCCAGTGTGGTCTTCTGCTGCTGTGACCCCTTTCAGAGCTGCTCTTCTGCATAAGTTGGTTGTAATCTGAGGTTATTTGAATCGCTTTTGCCTTCCTGTCAGCTCGAAACAGTCTGATCATTCTGCACTGACGTCATCGAGGCATTTTCACACAGAGAACAGCTGCTCTTTGGAAATGTTCTGCCTTTTGGACCATTTTCTGTAAAACCTAGAGTTCCCAGTAGAACAGCAGACCCTAAATATTCAGAATAATCAGCACTTCTGGCACAAGAAGCCAATTCAGAGTCACTTAAATCACAAATCTGCTGTTCAGTTTCAACTTAAGCGTGTTATTTTGACCACATCTGCATGCTGAAATGCATTATGTTACTGTCATAGGATTGGATTGGCTAATTATATATTTGAGCTATGATGCAGTTGAATCGGTATACCTAAAAGGTAATCGGTGAGTGTGTGTTGATTTGAAAGTATTAACTTAATAAAAGCGTATAAATCGGTCTCTTATAATATCCCAGAATAAAATGTGACTACACTAAAATGTCTTGTTTTGCTGTGACAAGCCTCCAATTTGTTAGAATATAAAACGAGTAGAAAAGTTGAACAGTTCTTGGATTTAATATCTCGGGGCAATCAGATGTTTGGCACGAAAGATTGCTTAATTACATTTTTCGATCATAAAAATGGTTACCAGATGCTTTGACTGACTAATCAATCAACTGTTTAAATCATGGGAGCTCAAATCTTGTGTTGCTAAAAAACAAAATGAACAAAAAACAGCGACTGCCTGCAAGAGAGGCGGAGGACGGGCTCTTCCACGCAGTTTGCTGTGGTCTGATTTTCAGTAATGATAAACAGATGTGATTTGTTGTAAATGGGCTCAAACATGCAGAGACCCTGATTTGGTCCTTTGGGTCTTGGTGTTTTGCTGTCTGCTTGCATTGCAGCCTGTAGAGTAAGATGCATTGCTGTGCAAAAGTCTTGAGCTCACCTGTCATTGCTTTATATTTTGCAAGGAAACATACATGGAAATGCAGTTTCCAATTCTAATGAGCTGGAAAATCAATGTTTGGTGTGACCACGTTTATTCTTCAACACAGTCTGA